ACTGCTCTACTGGGTCACTGGTTCAGCACTGACAAAAAGAAAAATTAGCTTTTTACTATAGTTAGGTGTCCAGTAGACTAAAAAGTTTAAGATGTTGCCCCAGGCTCTTTCTAGCCTGAGAAAGATTTTTCTCTCAAAAGTCATTGAACACTCTTCTTACATTTCTAAGATCCTTGCATCAGGAGGCTGAGGCTAACTGGAAACTCCATTAACATATAGCCAAGCTGTCCTTAATTTCGATAGCATTGCTTTGAGGTAGGCAAGCAAGACGTAGATAAAGAGTTTATCCTAAAAGCAAATGAGAACACCAAGAAGATACTTCCTGTTTCTCAGAACTATGCTGACAATTAGCAGAGTAGAGCAACTTTCTGAAGTTTGCAGAACAACAACTAGGATCACTGCTCAGTGAAATACATGTAATCTGTGATTTCAATAGTGAGTTTGAGCAGCTGCTGTCTGTCAGATGTCCCTTGGAGTACAAAGAACTCAGGAGCTATCTAGGGTTACCACTAAGATAGGCTTGTTTCCCAGTAACACAAAACGGCACTTGGCTTAAAAATTCACATGGGGGGAAGGTAGCTGCAATATTGCATAATGTATCTTGTAAGAAAAACAATGTAACACTTGTTTTTCCCTTGCTTTCACGAAGTGCTTTTGTCTCTATCACTCTCTCTGTTTTGGAGCTTAATAGCTCAAGAATCTGGGTAAGTCTCCTTTTGCTCAGCATCTCAGGTTGTATTCTTAGAGGCATCTATGTGGGTGAAGCAAGAGCAGCTACAATAGTGCTGGATGCTGGGTTACAGCAGTCAAGCAGAGAGAACTACCAGTTCTTGGGCCCTACTCAACTCAGAACTGCTTTGTGAGCTGGCAGGGCTCTTAAGTCCCTCGCCCTACCCTCATTTTTTCCCCCCCTCTTTCTTTGGACAATGACTACACCTGCACTGCCACAAAAGGAACAGATTGTTTTGACAAGATGCTGCTAAGAATTAAAAGGGCATGTGTGTAAATATGCTGACCAAGGAGACAGCAAAGCAGGCCAGCAGAAAGACAACAGACAGAAAAGAAATATAGCTACTTTGAAGGCAACATGCTTTCATACTGTGTTATACAAGATCTCTCTTTCTCCATATACATACCCCTCCCTCCATGTTGAACATCATTCAAAACAGTTTTTAGGGATGCAATATAATTCATTCAAATCCTATCATTTCCTTCAATAAATGGTTTGTTTTTTTTTTTAACTAAAGTTGTGACATCACTAAAGAAAGTAATTTTAAAAGTTTATGTGTATGTTTAAAGGACCATTGAACTTGCTGCTAGACCTATCCAATACCTGTACAGTTTCACAGGATTTAAGTCAAAGATATACATATATCCACTATCAAATACAAAAACCTTAGCTAAATTAAGGCATTTCAGTCCTCAGGTAAAATGAATGCATATCCAAGGAAACAAAAATGGGAAGAAAGGGAAGTCTGAGATGCCATCAATACACACAATGAGTGCAACTTGAGGGAATCATTTATGAAACACACTTAAATGACCTTAGCAGGAGATTAAACTCCAGAGGAAGGCAGAATTTGACAGGGGAAATTCCTTCCCTACCCCTTTGTTGAGTTGCACATTGCCTTCAGCAAGACATCAGCCAGGAATCTAGAAATTACACTTTCTGGTATGTCTGAGCACAGGTTCACAAGAATGTGAGTAGTAAGTACTTCCAAGAGTACTAGCTACATCATCCATGGAGAAGTCAGGTTAAATTCTAGAGCCTAAGCACCAATTACTATTGGCTTAATGCAGAACTGCACATATTACGCATACCTCCAGTCATCTTAATTTGATGATCTCTACCCTTCCCCAGCCCAAGAATTTATCAAAGCTAGATGAAAGCATATCTTAATCGTTAAGACTAGATAATGATTTAGCTGCCTGCATAAGCCTTTTTGTTGTTGGAATTCTTAGAAGCAGCCTCAAGACCAATGTCCAGCCAATGAATAACTGTCCTAATACGCTTTTGTTTCTTTTGCCAGAAAGTGAAAAAGATCTGAATTGTCTTCCATTACCAGTGTGCAGCTATGCATAGTGATCAAGTTACTGCTTTGTTTATTGAGAAACACTAAGGCGATTTAACTTGGGTCCATATCACAGAAGTACTTTCTAGATTCTTTGTTGCTCATCTTCAAGTACGGGCACCAGAAACAGAATGCAGGATTCAAGCAAGACAACCTCCCTGCTTCTGTTAATAGTCAAGGATCACATTCACTGCTGACAGCTTCAACAGCAGCTTCCTGTACATTGCTGTAACTGTAACACCTTTCCTCACTTCTTGGTTCCTGTTTGCACATGTATTTCACAATGTATTAGGAACAAAAATACACAATGTCTGAAAACAAACAAAAACACCCAAAGAATGACCTCACTACAAACCCCACATAACAAAAAACTGTGCTTACATAAAAGGACAATTTAGTAACAGGTCCAGGGTCTTTCCTGATCAGCACGCGCATGTAACTAACCCGCAAACGAGCCAGCAGAGAAATCCTTCAGAACTTGTTAGGAATTCAGATACTTACGCAGCAAGCCACCTTCCTATACGAGCTAATTTCCAATAAATACTACTTGCCGTTTTCCAGAACACATTCACCCTCACCCTGCAATCTCCCATACCTAGCATCCAGCTTTTCAGACTTGTTATTTTTTGCCTGGCTCCAAAATTGATACAAGTTCCTGGAGTTCTACAGGCCTCTCAGAGCAGGTGAACAAACTTGTCTGGAGAAGGAACAATTTTTTCAACTGCAGCAGGGTTAATCTTACTGACTCGCAGACAATTAAGCCTCAGACCAGGTCAGGGCTTTCCCTGGATAAGTTTTTTCTACTAGGCTTCTCGTAAGTTTAGCTATGCACTGTGAACATCATATGACTTATGAGAAAAGGATGCTCCCCAATGTGGAAATTTCATTTCATTTCTGAGTTGTTTTGGAATGCGCCCATCACAGGTTTCCAGCAACACATTGGTCAATAACAGAACAAGAAACACACATTCATTATGCAGGCTAAAAAAACTGTTTGAACTCTTAGTCTTTTTTTTTTTTTTTTTTTTTTTTTGGCATTACAATGAGGAGGGTTTTGTGGTTAAGACACTGATCTACGACTTTGATGAAAAACACTCAACCAACCACAAACAGTTCAGGTCTTCAATCTGACAGACTGCATGCACAATACTAGGTGAATCATCTCTTTCCAGACCATATAATTATACACAGCTATAGGTACATGCACGCAAGCATGCATAGATAGCTGTATGTATATACACAAACACACAAAACTAAGTATTTAACCATAGAAGTGGGGACAGAAACTACCACTTTCCTCAGCCAGCTTGAAGGGCAGTGGTAGTTTCTGTCTTCTGCACAAAATAAAAATCAGATTTAAGAAGGATGCTGATGAATTTTTCACCAATTTTGTGAGTCTTCTATTTCTACCCTGCATCCCAATTATCTTTTCTGCTTAGGATTATGGCCTGACCAAAATATTATGAAATCTACCATGACCACTTACTTTTTTTTTTTTTTTTGGTTAGTCTCAAGCCAAGAGGAAGAAAGTTGATTTCTTAAGCAACTATTATGGGAAAACACAGAAAAAACAATTCAGCCAGCTATGCCAAAGAAACCTAGCCTCATAACAATTCATTATCATATTATCTGCATATAAAGCAAGCAGAATCTGCAAGCTCTAGTCAGCTTCTACAGTGAAATCAACTTGAATAACAGTATCTTAGGAATTTACTGAGAAAGTAACAGTGAAAATTTCTGTTCCAATGAGAGGGATTAAAACATTGACAAACTGAAATCTGAAAGAAGTGCCATCCTTCCTCCCCCCTATTCAAGTGGGTCCTATTTCCTGCAGAGTGATAAGCAGAGATTATTTAAGGACCAGGTGAAGGACATGTTACATGATCTATTACCTGGGAGTCCAGACACAGGCAGAGTTGAGCCTTTTACATCTCAAAGGAAGCATGAAAACTATGTATGAAGCAACATATTTCCAAAATTTTTTTTAATCAATTTCTAGTATTGGAAAAATTCTCCTTCAAGTTATCCTGTGAAAGTAACAATTAAGATTACTAAATTGGTCAAAGAGTACACAATATTACAAAGCTTTGGTATATAAAATTCCTTTTTAAAAAACAAAGCAGTTAAAACGAATGACAACTTGCAAGTTAACTTCCCTCTTAAAAAGCAAACAAAAAACCCAGCAAAACCAACACTTTCCAAAATACAGATACATGAAGATTTAAAAACAACATAGTAATCTTTTCTATATCAGCTGAGAAACAGTTATTGTTCCCACCTGTAAAATTCTGCCTCTTGTAAGACTCCCTGGACAGCAACCCCTCAAGCAGTCTCCTCCCTCTACAATGACTGGGCATGAGAAGTGAGCTGCAACTTTTTTTTTTCTCTCTCAGATGCATGCATTAAGTAGTGCTGTTGAATTGTAATAATACACATACATCAGAAATGTCAGAAAAAAAAAAATCTCTGGACATTCCTGCCAATTCCTTCACATTAAAAGATACCATCTTGGTATTACACTCAGTTCTATGTAACTAGCAAAAGTGTTTACCGATGTCCTGTAAGCCTAACATTAGAACTGATGGGCTTCAAAAAAAAGATAGTACAGAAAGTACCAGTCAAAGAGCTCTTGGCGTCCCCTGCTATCAAAGTTTGTGGAGCCTGCTGCAACAGGTTTGTAAACAGAAGTGAAGACGCCAGGTAGAAATTCTTATATTAAAAGCACAACTCCAAATTTGAACAGAGTTGCCTCTGCTGAATCAAGTTCACGTTTACCCCAGATAATTTAAAAAGCAACAAATTGGCATCTGAGACTTTCTAGGAGAAAATTAACCTTCTATAGGGGAAGGTCAAAATTGTAGGTCTTTCAAAAAAACTGTCTAAGAAAAACTGTAATACCATTGACCAGGATAGAGTCACTTCTGGGAATTAAAACCGTGAGTATGCTGTTCTTTGCTGTTGCTGCTGTGATGGCGGCTGTCCTTGCTGTTGCTGAAGACGAACCTGCTGGGAGTATGGATCCTCTAGAGATTTAACAAAAATAGTTGTCTTAGGCCCAGTTTTCCAGACAATACCATTTGAATCTATTACAGAGGACTCTACTGTGATGTTGTGGGTGCCAAGTATCACAAAGTTTAACAGAAACTGAGTGCTGAAGTAGTCGTTGTGTGGTTCCACCCTCTGCTCCATTTCATTGGTCATGTTGTCAATAGGAATCTGAGAACACATGGAAGGTTAAAATGCTGTTTTATATAAACCTGTTAAAGTAAGTTTTCTGCTCTCCATTTGAAGGACAGGAAAAGGAGAGAAAAATCTTTGTCCTCAATTTTCCTAAACCAATGCATGTGTGTATTTGAGCCAGCTTGACATGCTTTTTCATTGATGAATGAGTTATTTTTATATCTATTCACAGAAGCAAGGTAGTTAACAAGTCTTTTTCTCCCTGAGGTTCTAGTTTTCCAGAGTAGTAAGTCAGACAAACATTATGTACTTCCTAGTCCTGTTGTTCTTTTAGAGGCAACTGACTTTTTTTCCTTTTCCTTCTCAAAAAAACCCCCGAACAACAAAACAAACAAAAAAACCCCAAGCCCAAACCCCACCAAAACAGGCCTTTCACTACATGTCACACGTCAGCAGAACCTGGACTTCAGACATACATTGTCTGATAAAACTGTTGACTTGAATTTAATATGTATCTCCTTAGGTGCTATTTAATTTGGACAGCATGTACTCCCAATTTCCACAGACAAAAAAAAAATCCCACAAAACCCTTAAAATGAGGATAAAGTAGTTCCAGAGACTATGTGGTAGAGAATAATCTACTCCTGCCTTTTTTCCCTGTGGAGTTTCATATGATATATACCTAGCTTGAATTTTCCAGATCTCAAGCAGATTCCTAATGACTTGTTCTGAACATCAGAAAGCCTCTTTTGTTTGGAAGAAAAGCTGTTACTAAAAAGGTAACAGTATACAGCAGACTTAAAAATCCCAGGTCCCTTCCATGCACTATGCCTGGCTCTGGCCATACTTGAATGTCAACTGTCAAGAGTGAGAGGATTACAGAAGAACCCATTCATTTCAACCTGAAAATTCTGCTAACCAGAGCCAAACAAAAGAGCAGGAAAATACAGCAAGAAAGCTTAAGACTTCTCCTGGCTCTATTCTATCCATACCTTATAGTCTTGTCCAGATTTGCTCTGCAGCACTGAAGAGACATTTAGACAGACAGATTGGATTTTACGGAAAAGGCCTGGTTTAGATCCATGCTGAACCACTCCTTCCACTTTTAGGGCCAACTGCTGATTGTTCTGTACTGCAATAGGTTCTGCTGGGTTCCTCGGAGATGGGGATAGAGCAAGCTGAAACACAAGAGAACAGACCAAACTGTAATTCTATGCCTCCAGAAAAGCAAACACCATTCAAGGATGAAATGGAACACTTTCCTATAGAAAAATTTCCAAGGAGAGGTTTGGTAGGGAAACCAGCAAATGGAAACACAGAACTTATATTGGAGACATAAAATTAATAAGCATCATCAGGAATACCAGATCTGGTCTTTATATCAGTTTCATTAATTGCACTTCTTTAAAAGAAGTAGAAAAAAATCTTCTACAAAATAGCCACAGGTAAGTATATTAAGCTGAACAAAGAAGTAAAATGCAATAAAAGTAAGTATTAAAAATCTTAAGGCTTTCACTGTGCCCAGAAAAAGAGAGCACTTGAGGGGAAAAAAAAAAACAAACCAAACCACAAACCCCCCCACAACCCAAACCCCGAAGGTTACATATAGCCATTCTTACTCAGTCAGCTGATAAATATTACCATTTTCTTCCAAGACAGTAAATGTTGCTTTTTAAAGGAAAAGGAAAAACAATACGAATTTATAGAAGTTGTATTCCCAGGACTAGAATATTATTTAGCTTTGCAGACTCAGAATCAACAAAAATTCCAGTTAGATTTTATCTTTAAGGCTGTGCAATCAAAGAACTGAATCCTACTTGCCTAAGTCACAGCCTGGTGGTTCTTAATGATCATACGTACATATTATCCAAGTGATTCCTAACAGATAAACCCAGATGCTACTTGCAGTTAAGTATCTTCACTAAAAATGCTGAAGCTTTGGGCCTTCAGTAAGGCTTTTCTCAAAGACTATATTTAGGCCACATTTGAGCAGTACCTACCTTAATGCTTGTAGACTGCAGCTTTTGAAAAAAGTACCTTTGAAACGAAAGGGGTACCTTCAACAATGCAATGACAGCATTGCACAGACAAGCTGTATGCTGTAAGAAACAGAGCCAAAAAAATGAGAAAAAAAAATTTTTTATAGCATAGGAAAGAGACACACACTTGAGGTACTGCAACTGCAGCAGTTTCCACTAGAAGTCCTGAAATATATTGATACAGTCATAGGATAACAGCCACTATGATGACAGTGACTACATTCAGCCTGTTTATGTTCTGCCCTTTATGAAGAAGGTATTCTGCTCTGGAAAGAACAAGGAGGCCAAGAAAAAGAAAATCCAAATCATTTCAGTCCTAGTGTTAGAGTCAGCAGAGCAGGATCTGCTTGAAACATTCATACATAAAAACCTCACAAACTCTCAAATAAACAACAATTCCCCTCCAAGCAAACAAGACTTGCATCTACTGCAACTTTATGTGGTGCAATAAAGTTTTAAGCCTCTTGCCTACTCTTCCTTTCCCCACTGCACAATACCATCCTTCTGACTCAGATGAGCAAAGGCAGCACTGAAGTCACCAAGCTGCACTGGTATGGAGCCAGTGACAACGAAGTTTACAGGGTTTACCTTTGCTACATTTTATACAACTCATTCTTCTATGCAATTTGGAATCTGTAAGGACTGCTGAATTTAGAATAAGGCAAATAGATGCCAGCCATGACAAATGAACTACCTTGTTCGCATCAACATGTACTTCAGCTTTATGATGTTCACTAAAGTAAAAGACGAAAACATACTAGCCCTGTAAAGGAGTACATTATCAGCTCACTGTTTGCATTCAGCACACTTTACATTGTGTTCTCTGATGACCTGCATTGATTAGAGAAATGCCATACTCGCAAAACACAGTATTAACTGCCAACAGCCCAGTGACCGAAGCAAGGCTAATGCTGGACCCTCCAGCACTGTGTGGTAGGGGAAGAATTCATTCATGACGACAGCATGAACAAAGAGAATGTGCTTCAGTATTTGAATGCAAGTGCGACAAGAGATCTGACAGAGACTTGATGCTACTTTTAGGTATCTTATCAGCATCTGTTATATTCTTAGTATCAGAATTTTTAAAACATTATTTTTAATCAGACCAGGAAGGTTACAGATGTCTTAACCAAACCTTTTTTGAAGTATTTTTGAAGTAGTGAGTCTCCATAGAGACCATTTGTGCCAGTAAGAGTTTATGTTAATTAGCCGAGTGTGCTCTTCAGTTTCTTGACCCCCACAGATACATGGGGTTGCTGAGTTTTTGGAGCCTTTGTCTACAGAATATACATTTAAAACTTCTACTTGCCAAGTAAGACACAGGAGCATACTTCCTGTTGAGGGATTCCACTTCTTCCAGTACATGATTAAATACTGACATCATTCTTCTTTCATATTCACTCTCAACATGTGCTGTTCCATTCGAGCTATACTCCTGGAAACTAATAAGAAAAAAACAACCACACACAAACACCCAAACCTCTTCATCATGTCTAACATACTTTCCTCATCGTAATCTGGGAGGCTCACTCCTGAACAGGCCCAACAATACCATCCTCTGTTAGAACTTGAAATCCATTAAGAAATAACTGTCTTTCAAACTGTTTACTCTGTTTCTTTTATGATTTTTCCACTCTAAGACTTGCCCTTTACATTTAGACCCTTTCTTAACTACAGCTTATCCACCACTTTCTGTCCCCACCCTCTCTCACTTGAAGCAGCTACAGATCCAACAGACTCAGCATGCTTAATTCCCCTAGCTTTTATTTAAGCCTGCAGTGTTTAATTCCCCTGGCTTTTATTTAAGCCTGCAGTGTTTATAATGTTTTTAAAAGCCTTACAACTGAAGGAAAAGCAGGAAT